TTTCTTGTACAATTTAAGACTTTTTAAGGCCTTAAATTTGATACAGCAAAATGTAATACTTTAAGACTTTTTTAAGACCTGCGGAAACCCTGGAAGAATCAACAACTAAACTAGATTTTCAGAAGAAAATTTGAGGCCCTTGCTAGGGTGTTATTGAGTTTTTACTAGGTGGTTGCTAACTGGTCCAAGATAAATTTCTATAATTTTACAGTCCTTAGATATGACTTAGATATACTTAGACTTCAACTCTCTTCACTTAAAGAGTGCATCAAACTTTTCTCTTCAAAAGAGCAATGAAAATATAACATTGCCTGAGCTTCTTCCTCTGGTTCATCTCTGGGAATTTCAGGTAGTCTTCTGAATGTCTCTGGGGGATTCTGGGATGCTGGCACAGGTGGTGGTCTCTGGTTCTCTTCCTCCTCTTCACGCTTGCTCTGCTCCTTAAGAGAGAAGATGACCAGCATTACAAAGTGTTCATTAGTGTGTGAAAAAGAAAAGGCTGGTGTGTGGGTGGGTTATCTATTGTTGTCATGCATTTCTATTAAAAGTGTAGCGAAATCGTGAGCTGGATGGCCAGGATTTGTCCAGGGCCGAATTTTAGCCACAGTGGGTGAATATGCTGAGCGTATCGACAACGCTGATGAGCTCCTGGAGAGTTTCCTTGAGGGCTTTCATGATGAAAGCACTCAGGTTATATATATATATATATATATATTTATATTTTTGTGTGTATGTCTATATATATATATATATATATATATATATATATATATATATATAGATAGATATGTATATGGGTATTAAGACAAACGTGAACCTCTTGTTTGCGTTGTGCCTCTTCTTGTTCTCTCTTCTCTCGAGCGAGTCTTCTGACTCTCTCCTCATCTGCTCTCTTTCTATTCTCCTCATCTGAGGCCTTCGCCATGTTCTCAAAGCGAGCCTTAAGGTTTCCAGCTCCTACACTTGCTATACACACCAGAAAGAGAAGAATCTACTGAGTTCCTGAAAGGTATATGGACCCTTTATCAACACATTTAAAATGTACAAATGTCACTGCATTACTACTCAAAAGCAATCACTTCAAATGTAACGTTTCCATGTATATATGTACAGCAAACACTCACAGGCCTCAAAAGCCTGAGGCTTTTCATAAGATGATGATGGTGACTCCATATCACTGAATGAAGCTGCACTCTGTGGAAAAAAATTAAATAACTCAATGTACATTCACTGGGAAACTGTCAAACATTTGTTGAAACTTCCATAGTAATGCTATACAATTCATGTGAAATGTATACCTTATCCATGCGATCTGCTTCGACTCCATAACGTCCTCCAAAACCCTTTGCATAGTCTGAAATCAATAAGAACATATATATTTAGTATTATGTAAAACAGACCAAAAATTTGTTGTATCTCTAGCTTTAGCTGTCAGTTAGAAACATCACACTTTGTGGTGCTAAACACCAGGGCCCTCAGAAAAGTGCTTAAATTATGACCTAGCCCTGGGGCCACTCACAAAAGATGATACAGCGAAAGATAATCACTAGATTTGTAGTCAAAAAAGAAAGAAAGGGAGCCACAAAGTTGAGTTCCCAGGGCCCTCAATGGACATACGTTCAGAAATAGATACCGGGTGATGTGACGCTAATGCAACCCATGCGGCAAAAAACACATCAGAATAAATTTGAAGGTGGGTTTTGAAAGAGTTTTCCATTAGTCAAGTGATCTCAGGGAATATTTATGGTACCTTTCTGTGACTGATGTTTCTCTGTTTCTCCTTTATAGTCATAACCCAAAGCAGCCTTGTCAACCTTTTCTTTTTCCACACCGTATTTCCCCCCG